TTTGTCTTCCCAGAGTTCATAAGTGAGAAGTTTGGCAGGCTTGGCTGGGTACTCCGCTTAGGATCTCACAAATCAGAAATCCCAGTGGCAGCCGGCATGAGTTCTCCTCTCCGACACTAGATCCTTCAGTTATTGGCTGGGGCCATTTCCTTCAAGGATCTCCATAGTCATGCCCCTCAGGACTATTTTCAAAGACAGCAATCTCATGGGAGGAAACCCTCAGGCTTCTAATCTGTAAACTCCTCAGTTTAAAATGTCATGTTGTTACACTGAGCCTACTCAGGTAATCCAAGATATTTTCCCTGTTTTAGGTCACCTTTTACATACACATGTAAACTGAATTAAATCTACAAAGGACCATTTACAGTGAAACATAATGCTAACCTCAGAGTAATCACAGTGGGTGGAATTATACCTATGACACTGTAAGAGCAGCGATCATTTTCAATGAAAACATTTTTTAAATAAATTTCAATATTCCTACAAACATATTACAACTTTATCCCTTGAGATGTTTCTAATCAGGGAAAAAGAGTACATAGAAACCTAAATTCTGCCCTGCTCTGTTTCATGTTTTAGTAAAGCATGTATTGTGTTCAGCAATATGAGAACAAAAAAAATGAGACTTTCGTTGTTAAATTTGAAGTACTAAAGGTCTTCAAGACATAGATAGAACCATAAGGGACATTCAGGATGCTGTTTCCATCACTGAGCAACAGGTACCACGTAAAATCTCTCCTGTCAGACCAGGCATGGTCACATCCTTTGTCTCCTATCCCAAAACAGGAGCAAAATGGCTGTGGCATGTTGCATATCCCTAATCCTACAGGCAATCGTCTACTATAACTTCTATCTTCCCTTCTACCCTCCACCTCTGCTTAGGGCCAATAACCACCTCCAAGACTTGCATGCCCACTTGTTATACCCCTTCAACATCCTATTCTTTAATCTTTCAGAGACATGAGGGTTCATGTGCCTTTTCCACACTCCTGCTATTGAATTCCCTTCGCCAATTATCTTCCCATCCCCATTTACCCCTTAACTTCCATGCCCCACAACCATGTAGCTGCCAAACACATAATGTCTCTCTACCCTTAATTTCCTTGTGCGCATTGCCCATTATCTGCTTAAACTCCACACTTTAACCACATGGAGACTTTATCACTCTTGTGTCTTTGAACCCTCTTTTCTCTCTGACCTTCTACTTCTCTATCTACACACACCCCATGCTCTCAGCAACATATCTATACCCCAGGCTGTGTCCTCATTGTACCTCACTCTGTCACACATATTCTCTCTCTCCCTCTCAATATCACTCACGCAGTCATCACCCCAAAACTCCAATGTTACCTCTATGTGTCTTGACCTGAAGTGGCCATTGTGACAGCATCTTTTAAATATTTCATTTTTTAGATAAGATTTTTGTAGCTTGTGGCAGGGATAGAAGGATGTGAAATAGGAGAAATGTGCCCTCGTTTGCAAGTATACAGAGGTCTTCCATTTTTCTTCCACATGTGAACCCCATATTAATAGTTATTGGGGTTTATTGGACTGCATAAGTTTGTGGGACAATGTATCATGGTGTGTATGAAAGTGAGTGAAGATATTTTGAGTTTGTTCAGAATGTATGTGTGAGTCTGAAATAGTTTAAGAATGAGTGTATGTGACTGTATATTTAAGTGTGTTAGTATGCATGTGTATTTGCATCTGTATGTGCAAATTTAAAGTTGTAAATTTCTGTGTGTGTCTGTGTCTGCATGCGTGTAGGAGAGGTTGTCCATAATTATGGATTTAATCCATTACTTGGAATTTGGGGTGAATTGGATAGTGGACCAGAGTCAAATATTGGATTTGTTTTGTGGAGAAACCCAAAGATTAATTAAAATATGTGTGGAGGTTCCTGGGAAGCATTCAACACTTTTTTTTTAATTGAGTTATGGTTGACATACAACATAGTTTTAGGTATACAACAGAATGATTTGATATTAGTATATATTGGGAAAAGATCACAAGAATAAATCTAGTTAACATCTGTCACCACGGGTGTTATTTACAGATTTTTTTTTCTTGTGAATTGTGGAAGCAAAAACTTATCTGAAAATTAAAGGAATTGTAGAATCAGCCTGATTAACCATCTGATCTCAGTGATTCCATTTGTGACAGACACCTATAAATTTCTACCTTTCCATAGATACTGATCCTTTTAAACTTCCTATTCCTACGGGGACGAAGGAAGATAGGTCAAAATGCATAAAGTGCATTTTACTAGAAAACTTGCATGTCACCAAGACTACCAAATTAGTTGGCATTGCTTTGCATGAAAAAATCTAATGTTCTCTAAAGTAAATTACTGTCATGTTCGTTTATATTTATTGCTTTGAAAATTCTTGTAAGGTAGTTCAGTTTAATTTCTCAACTCATAACTGAAATGACAGAATAGATCAGCGATCTGAAAGTTAGTTAAGAACTCACTTTTGGTTAGAAAAACATCTCAAGGCAACAGAAAATCCAGTGACATACATAAGGTTTGCAGCCAGTCCCTCATGTTTCAGACCTCATTATTTTCTGCTACTTCTATATGAGTCCCTGCTGCCTCTAAGGATTAAGGAAAAGAAAGAGTTTTCCCCCAAAACTGCAATACTCCCTTTGGCGAGAGTAATGACAAACTTTTAATTGTTTATTGGTAATTAGCAACTGGCAAAAAGTTTTTCACAATCTTCCCCAGTCCCCAAGCTTGTCCTTTCACTGAAGCTACAGGTGAAAAGATAATTGCACTTCTGAGGTGAGGTGAGGTCACGGGATAACTAACCTATGTATAGTGGCTTGACTGCCTCCCTCCCTCTCACATAAGCACGGATTATTGTGATCATCACCCTGAGGCCATCTTTATGGAAGCCAGAAGGAATTTTCTATATCAGTCTGAGAGTCAGTCTTCAAACAAGGAGGGATATCAGAGTCTTGGTAAGTGGTAATATCAGAAGAAGGGAAGCATATGGATTTTAACCTGGTGCAATGCCAGAGCCACACAGGAAGGAGGAATGATTTTAATACGTGAGCTGAGTTAGCAAAGAGAAGTGGGGGTTTCTACACAATACACAAATACCTGAAGCCTCCAAATGTAATTTAGTGTGATAAGCACTGACAGTGATTGCTGATGTTTAATCCAAGTGATAATGAAACCTGATTTTCTAATGTGAGTAATGACTGTATTTTGCACATATATCTGTAGTCAAGTAACTTAAAGGAATCATAGAATAAATTTTCTGGTTACTAGAGGTGTGCCAATAGTACTTCCGTGATTAACAGCAGCTAGGCTAAATTTACAGGAATCAGGTAATTCCTTGCAAAAATAGTGCATATGAATGACAAATGCTGGAATGGAGATATTTTCTCTAGCTCCGGGCATATGAAGTTCTCAGTGGAGATATTAATTGCTTCCCACTGAAAACATCCATGGTTGGTTGATTCTGGTGAGACCATTTCCATCCTCAAATTAGAGAAGGAGCATTCAACGAAATGGAAATTTTACGAATGGATTTCAGATAGCAGCTACCTATTCACTAATTTAAAAATATTCATATATCAGTTCCAAGCTGTACAATTTCAATTTATAAAGTAAAATGATTTCACATCTTAAAAATTTCATTTTTCATACGTCTTATAAGTTAATGTTTCGCAAATCTTGACTTGCTATTTTTGTCATGTTAATTAACAGATTCATTTATGGTTTGAAATTAGTAGATTCTTTTTCTGTGCTACACTAATGTGGCACATATTTGTACTTCAAACCTCATAGTTTAGGACACAACATAGTGTTCAGTGATTCCTGTGATAGATGTCATTCCATTTCTGTCATAAAAGAAAATGATTGTCTCTGTGGCTGATGCAATATAAAGCCTATAGTGTATGCTTTCAATACAATTTTTCACGGAACAGGTCCCTATAGAATTATACCATAATCAGTGCATCTATATTTTACTAAGAGCCAGCCATGGTGATCTCGTGATTACGATTCAATACTTGTACCGCTACAGCCAGGGTTCATCTTCCAGTCAAGGAACCACACCACCAATTTGCTGGTTGTCATACTATGGTGGTTGTGTGTTGCTGTGATGCTGAAGTAAGGTCACCGGTATTTCAAATACCAAGAGGTGTTGGACAGATTTCAGTAGAACTTCCAGACCAAGACAGACTAAGAAGGACCCAGCCACCCACTTCCAAAACCATTGGCCACGAAACTCTATGAATAGTAGCAAAACATTGTCTGATACAGCACAGGAAGGAGAGAGGATGGAGGCAAAAACACCAGGCAGGATTCCACTCTGCAGTACACAAGGTCATTAGAAGTTAGAATCGACTTGATGGCCTTAATAGTAATGATATTTTATTACGAAATTTAAACCTCTGTTCATAATTGGTGTTGGGCTGTACAATAACGGTTTAAAAATAAATGAAAACTTCTTCAAAAATATAATAAAATACCACTGAAACTGAAATAACCTGACAAGATATGAAAACATCTAAATATACATCAGTATTTTATCTAAGAACAAAATTAACTACCATAGCTTTGTTAAAATAGCACTGTGTTTAAATGCACTACCATTTTACCAGTCCAGCAAGATTCTCCTATTCACCTTTCCCATAATAAGGGTTTAAATTTGGACAAATCATTAACATTTATCTGCCTCTTTTCTCTTTATCTTTTCAATGAAAGACTAGTTCTGACATTCTCAAGAATTTATGAAGAATACAAGGTAACTACATACATGACGTTATATAGTGATCCATATTCTCTGAAAGATCTTTCAGTGTTAGACATTCAACTCTCAGAAACCTCTTCGAAAGGAAAAATTATAAATACTTATTTTCCAGTGGGAACTAATGTAAGCGGAGAATATTGAAATTTCAGTTGACGTGATACCTAGAGCTCATGCCTCATTTTCCATGCAGGAATCTCTGGCTCGGAAGATGCGTATCACTCCCTGGGATGAGACAGAATGGCCACCAGGGATTTGGTGATAGGAATGATGTTTTTATTACAGACTGTCTTTGGAATTCTGGGGAATTTCTCTCTCGTTTACCATTTTCTCTTTCTCTACTTCACAGGACGCAGGTTTAGGCCCGCAGATTTGATTGTCAGCCACATGACACTAGCCAATCTCTTAGTTATTTTTTCCAAAGGAGTCTCAGAAACTATGACAGCTTTTGGGTTGAAACTTTTCCTCAATGATATTGGATGCAAACTTCTTTTCTATGTTCACAGAGTGGGCAGGGATGTGTCCATTGGCACCACCTGCCTCTTGAGTGTCTTCCAAGTGATTGTGATCAGTCCCAGGGATTCCAGGTGGGCAGAGCTTAAAGTAAAGTGTCCCCAGTACATAGGCACTTGCAGCATCCTTTGCTGGATCCTGAACATGATGCTGAATATTTTGGTTCCTTTTCACATAACTGAGAAAAGGATCAAGGCAAACATCACAAAGAAAATGGATTATGGCTACTGTTATACAGTATTTTACGGCAAAATTACAGAGTCACTCTCTTTGCTATTGGTATTATTCCATGATGGTTTCTGTTTGGTGCTGATGGTCTGGGCCAGTTGCTCCATGGTTTTCAAACTGCACAGCCGCAAGCAGAAGGTCCAACATATTCATAGGAACAATCTCTCCCCCAGATCCTCCCCTGAGACCAGAGCCACCCAAAGCATCCTTGTCCTTGTTTGCACCTTTGTATCTTTGTGGACTCTCTCCTCTGTCTTCCACATTTGTTTGACAGTTTTTAACAATCCAAGTTTGCGGCTGAAGAACATTTCTACACTGATCACTGCATGTTTCCCAACTGTCAGCCCCTACATTACCATGAGCCATGACTCCAGAGTATCTGGGTTCTGCTTTGTTTAGAATGAAATATGAAATTCCCTAAACTTATCACAAATATGTAAATTATACGCATATTCACAATGGTTAGTTGTTTATTCATTAATCGCTTTCAGTGTGTAAGCACATTTATGAAATATCCACGTGACAAGAGAGTCGTAAACAAGTTAGACTGAGCTTCTGTTCCAAAATAAATAACAACACCGATAGCAATAAGTTGTGTGATATATTTATCAAATTTAATATATATGTAATTGAAACTTTATTCATGTTTCCAGTGGAGGAGTTGAGAGTCTACGTAGTGTTAAAATAGTGGTTCTAGAAACAATCTTGAGATTATGGAGAAGGTTTTAAGAGTGTACTTTCAATCTGATATAATAAATTTTCAGGACATATTACATATAGGATTATAGAAAAAGTTCAGTAAAACAGAAAAACCAATGAGATTGTCGTTCAAGAAACTGGAGGAAGGAAAATTCTCCCACAGAAAATTGAAGGACATGGAGTTAAGCAAAGGGTATACAGTTTCAGAGATTAGATGCATTGAGCAACAACGGTGAGGTTTATGCATTCCATGCTTAGAGAGAACACAAACATATGAGATAATTTATCACAGAGAAGGATAGTATACTTGAAAGATTTTCATGTAGAATTGGTCATGTTGAACTGAATCAGAAAAATGAGGTTACAAAAATGTCTTTCTGCTTATTTTTAAATGACATCAAGTAAATGTTAGCTACTAAAATGCATTCTGTCTGGGAAAAATGCCATGCACATTTAGATCAATTCAAGGTAGAATTTTCTGTTATGGGAAGATGCCAACTGGGCATTTTGGCAGAATAGAGTCCAAGGAGCACTCTCATGTCTTTAAGTTGGGGAAATAAAGGTGTGGTTGAGCCTTAAATTGATCATGAAACAAAGAAGGAATAGCAACTTGCAGGGGTAAGTCACGAATTCATATTTTATATGTGTCAATTTGGGCCCGTGGATATTCAAAGGAATAAAATGGATATTTCATCAATTTTAGATGTTTTAGAAATACTTTTAGTATAAGTCTCTCCATATTTACATTATAAAGCAGATACAAAGACGTAGGGTTTCAAATATTTGAAAAACAAGGAATTATTTTGACCTAATGGATATATATTGACCCTTCTGCTGAAAAAACGGAGAAAGATATTTTAAGCTCACATGATTCACTTTGAAATATTTACATACGTATTAGACATCAAACAATATGCTTCTGTGTGTATATACACATACGTATATATTTGTATATATACTCATATATGTTGGCATATCTGTGCATGTGTATATACACATATATTTCTGTGTATCTGTGTGTTTATATATGCATATGTATAAATATGTAACATGCCAAATTATTTTTAGTTTTCATCCATAAATAACATTGGAGACATAAATTAAGAAATAAAAAAATAAGACTAATTACCGTAATTATAAGCTACTTCAGCACTGAAGTCTTGTCTATCTGAATTAAATATTTATATATATATATATATATCCATCTGCCAGTGCTAGTTGTTCAGTTGGTTACATTTCTGTATTTTTCGTTTTCTATATAAATCTTTATATTTTAGGTGTATCTCTTACAATATCCAACTGAATATGCTAAAAAATATTTGACCATATTAGGAGACATCTTTAAGGTGACGATAAAAGTGGATATATTTGGGAATGGATTCCTCTATTTTTCAATCCTCCTCATTGCACCTATTCTATTTTCCCATTCTTGCCTATTTAACTTTTTCTCTATCAATAAATTAAAATAACTTTATATTTTGCCCCTTTATAGTTAGGATAATCAATTGGTTGAAATTACATGGAATGCATTTTTCTTATTTGTGAATTTAATCCTTATATTTTAACTCTATTGCTTGAAACAGTAACCAATTGAATTTAGCAAATTGTGCTTAATTTTAACAAGAGTAATTAGTCTAATTATTTATTTAATTAATTATTATTATCTTTTTCATGAGCTAACATCTGTTGGCAATGTTCCTCTTTTCGCTTGAGGAAGATTGTCACTGATCTAACATGTCTGTCGATCTTCCTCTATTTTGTGTGTGAGATGCTGCCACAGCATGACTTGATAAGAAATGTGTAGGTCTGCACCTGGGATGCAAACCTGTGAACCCCAGGTTGCCAAAGCAGAGTGCATGAACTTAACCACTGCACCATGGAGCCGGCCCCTAGTGTGGTTATTTGTAATACGATAACAGTTACATTGGGGATTAGATTTAGCAACTTACTGCCTGGTCTACTTTACACCTGTTGTATGTTCCTGGTTTTTCTGTCTAAACATTTCCATATTAATTTTTTAAATACTTCTACATTTTACTTCATTTGCTTGGAATTTATACAATCAATATCTTTTCATTTTTAACTGAGCTATGACAGCATACTGTGAAATATTAATCAGAATGTGGTTATGTAATATATTTAGCATCCTCCTAGACAGTGTGATGGCAATCCAACAATAATCTAATTTATTCCAATTCTTTTATTGTTCATCTATATTTGAAAATTTATGTCACATAAATGTAGGGCTCAATGGAATTTCACAAACTGAACATAATTCTGTGCTCAACAGCCAGATTTAAAAAAAAAAACAGGATATGGCAGCATTCACCACAACTTTTTTCCATCAAGCAGTCAATACTTCCGCTGAGTAAACAATATCCTGACATCTAATAACATAGCAGTCTTTCAGCCTGTTTTTAATTGTATGCAACTCAAGCAATATGGCATTAATTTGCTTATTTCCTTTTTGTCTGTGTTATTTAAGAATTTATCAGAGCTGTCTATCAAATAATTAATTTAATCATTCTTCCATTGATGTTCACTTGAGCGATTTTTAGTTTGGAGCTCTTAGAACTAGTACTCATATGTAAATTCTTTTCATTTTGAGAGTCACTTTAGTAAAAGTCTTGGAGACATATATATGGCAGTGGAACTTTTGCCTGTATCTTTGCATATGCAGTTTAATTACATGCTATGAAATATTTTCCAGAAGGCTTTTTTATTAACCAATTTTCATTCCTATGAGCAGGGGACAAAATTCCTAGTTTATCCACATCATGCCAACACCTGGTGTGTTCAGTCATTTTCATGTTCATATTCTCGTTGGTGTGTAATGTTTCCAGATATGAGTTTTATTTGTATTTTTTATTACTACTGAATTTGAATATCTCTTCACGTGTAAATACAGTTTGAGTAGCTTTCTGAAAAAAATTATCCTTTGGTATATTTTTGCCACTTTTCTATTGGGTTTCTTTTTCTTGTTGATTTGTAGAAATTTTCATGTATGCTGAATGAAAGTCTTTTCCTGGGGTGCTGTCTTTTAATGAGCAACAGCTCTTAATTTAACTATAATCTGATAGTAGTTTCTTCTATTATGGTTCATGGTTTTTGCTCAGTCTATTACGCGAGGAGGCAAATTGGGCATGTTAGCGAGAAACAGGTTCCATGGTTCACTCTCATGTTTCTAGGTGAGGCAGTAAGTTTACAGCTGGCCCTTGCACTAATCTTGGAAACAGTGAGAGAATAGACATTTGGAGGAATTAGCCATGAAATCATTTCGTGTATGCGATGTTTTTGGTGTACGTGTTCTCAAACGAGTGAAGTGACAATTTCTTAAATTTAATGAATATTTTAATATAGCTTTCTCTCAATTTTAATTAATCTTTTAACCTTTTAATGGTGTTTACACTATAAAGCTGATGCACTCTATTAAGAATTCAAAATTGAAAACTAAAATAATTAGTTAGATCTAATGCATCTGTATTGAATCTTGTGCCACAAAATAGGGAAGCGCATATTATTTCTTTTTTTTTTAAGATTTTATTTTTTTCCTTTTTTCTCCCCAAACCCCTGCGGTACATAGTTGTATATTCTTCGTTGTGGGTCCTTCTAGTCGTGGCATGTGGGACGCCGCCTCAGCGTGGCTTGATGAGCAGTTCCATGTCCGCGCCCAGGATTCGAACCAACGAAACACTGGGCTGCCTGCAGTGGAGCGTGCGAACTTAACCACTCGGCCGCGGGGCCGGCCCCAGCACGTATTATTTTTAAGTTCACATGAGAATGTTAGACTGTACAACACACATTAAATCGCAAAGTAAGAAAGAAATATGTGTGAGTGTTTATGTTTGCGCATGTTTGTAATATGTTTCTCTATATATATGTGTGTATACACATGTACACATATGAAATATGAATATGCATAAAATCAATCAAATTTTGCCTGTTTTCCATCAATCAATATTTTGGGAAAAGTGAATTATGTAATGAAAAGTGAGAGGAAATTATGTAAAAACTACTAATTGCAATACTAACAAATTGGTTTAAGTTTAAAGTATGTTATGGACTTAATTATGTCCTCTCAAAATTTGTATGTTGAATCCCCTATCCCTAACATGACTATACTTGGTGATAGGGCCTTGGAATTGGCAAGTATGATCAAATGAAGCCATAGGGTGGAGCACTAATCCTGGAGGAGTGGCATCCTCATGAGAAGAAGGGACACTAGCTTCCACATGAACAGAGACGTGGCCATGGAAGACTCAGGAAGGAGACAGCTGTCTGCAAGCCAAGGAGAGACGCCTCAGGGGATCTCAACTCTGCCAGCACCTTGATCTTGGACTTTCTGCCTCCAGATTCGTGAGAAAATATATTTCTATTATTTAAGCCTTCCAGCCTATGGTATTTTGTATAGCAGACTAATACCGAGTCTCTTTATCTGATATTTCTATCACCATGCTACTTGTTTAATTGTTTATAGTTACATGGAATGTATTTTTCCTTTTTTCTAATTTAATCCATATATTTAGATACATATCTTTAAAAAGTAGCCAACTGAATATACTGAAATATGTTTGACATTAACAGAGCAATTAGTCCATTTATGTTCAATATAATAAAAAATATATTTCAAATCAAACTTACCAATTTATCATATGTTCTTCATCACACCTGTTTTATGTTCTTCATTGTTTATTTAACTT